ATGTTTTATCTGTAATTTATATTGGAAACTTTGCAGTTTTCATTTGCATGGGTCTTTTAGCTCTTTATTTATTTGTTCCTTGGCCTCCTGCACACACATACACACTTTGTATCTATGCTCATATAATTTGTCTCCTAAAATGCAAGAACTTTTGGTCTAGAGTGACATGTATCCTGCTAGATCAGGTTGGATCTATGAGACAACAGTCTCTTTGCCAGTATGGTAGGGTATCTGCAAGGTACAGATACTGGGACATGCACAGGTCTTTGACCCCTGGAGGTCAGTATAATTCAGACAATAGCTGCCTTCACATGATGACATCATACCATAGCAGTGTGGGCTTTGGGGGTTACTAAGGATATAGTGGTTCTTCCTCCAATGAAAAACCACTGTGCAGGCTTCCCTAAATGACCTTCTTGCTGATGACAACAGTGAAAGGCTCCAGGAGCTGAGACTAGCAGTGTCTGTGCTAATGAGCTTTGCTGAGACTCTTCCAGCCTGGCTATCTTCTGAAGAGAGTCTTCCTTCCCCACTAGGCAGTGAGACCTGTAGGTCCTGGCTCCTCCTGCTCTTATTTCATTCTGTAATCTCAGGTTTCCAAAGCTTCCAGGTTCTGCCTGGATGAATTTTATAACTCTCCAGCAGTCACTTACCTCAAAGGCCAGCTACCATCTTTGACTCTTGTTCCCTTTGAGAAGAGGAGGTAGACCCTATGCTCCTCTATTTAGGCATTATCAATTCCCCATTCACATGATCTAATTTTACTTTCCAGAAAAATGGGAAGATGGTACTTCCTAAAATTGCACATTGCTTTTCTTGGCCGTTATGTTTTTTTTAATCAATAATGATTTTTTTATTCTTTTTTTTAAATTTAGATAAGAAACAAGGTTGCTTCACAAGTCAGTTCCAGGTCCCTCTCCTTTTCCCTCCCCTCCTCCCGTGCCCTCCCCCCATCCCCCCCCCCGTTATCTCCTCATTCCCCCAGGAAGGGTGAGGCCCTCCATGAGGGTGTCCATAGTCTGTCATTTCATATAGGGCAGGGCCTAGACCCTTCCCCAAGTGTTCAGGGTGAGAGTGCACCTCACATTGTTCTTTGGGAGTCCAAAGTCCGTGTGTATACTTAGTATGGGTATTGATCTGCTGCCCAAGGCTCAATAGATTACCTAGGCCTCCTCACTGACACCCAGATTCAGGGGGTCTTGATCAGTCCCATGCTGGATTCCCAGGCTGATGCCTGGGATTCAAGAGTTAACCTTTGTCTGGTCAGCTGTTTCTGGGGGTTAAACCAGCCCAGTCTTAATCCCTTTGATCATCAGTCCTCCCTCTCTGATACTGGCTTTCTTGAGTTCAGCTCAGTACTTAACCAGCCACTAAATGTAGTTTCTGTTTCCCAGACTCTCTGGCCATAGGATTGTAGGCTGGCACTCCCCAGATCTATGTCTAAAATCCATATATGAGAGAGTACATGCCATGTTTCTCTTTTTGTGACTGGGTTACCTCACTCAGGATGGTTTCTTCTAGTGTCATCCATTTGCCTGCGAATCTCATGATTCCATTATTTTTTTCTGCTGAATAGTACTCCATTGTGTAGATGTACCACATTTTCTCTATCCACTCTTCGGGTGAGGGACATCTAGGTTGCTTCCAAGTTCTGGCTATTACAAATAAAGCTGCTATGAACATAGTGGAACAGACATCTTTGTTGTATGAATGGGCATCTTTTGGGTATATGCCTAAGAGGGGAGTTGCTGGGTCTTGTGGTAGGTTTATTCCCATTTTTCTGAGGAATCTCCATACTGCTTTCCAAAGTGGCTGAACCAGTTGGCACTCCCACCAGCAATGGAGGAGTGTCCCCCTTTCACCACATCCTCTCCAGCATAAATTGTCATTGGTGTTTTTGATTTTAGCCATTCTGACAGGAGTGAGATGGTATCTGAGAGTTGTTTTGATTTGCATTTCCCTGATGGCTAAGGATGTTGAGCACTTTCTCAAGTGCCTCTCAGCCATTTTAGACTCCTCTATTGAAAACTCTCTATTTAGTTCTGCAGCCCACTTTTTAATTGGGTCCTTTGCTGTTTTGGAGACTTGCTTCTTGAGTTCTTTGTAAATTTTGGAGATTAGTCTTCTGTCAGATGTGGGGTTAGTGAATATTTTTCCCATTCTGTGGGCTGCCTTTTTGTCTTGCTGACTGTGTCCTTTGCCTTACAGAAGCTTCTCAGTTTCAGTAGGTCCCATTTATTAATTGTTGATCTCACTGTCTGTGCTACTGGTGTTATGTTCAGGAAGCTGTCTCCTGTACCAATTCGTTCAAGGGTACCACCCACTTTCTCTTCTATGAGGTTCAGTGTGGCTGGATTTATGTTGAGGTCTTTGATCCATTTGGACTTAAGTTTTGTGCATGGCGATAAACATGGATCGATCCGCATTCTTCTACATGCCAGTCTCCAATTATGCCAGCACCATTTGTTGAAGATGCTTTCTTTATTCCATTGTATATTTTTAGCTTCTTTGTCAAAGATCAGATGTTCGTACGTGTGTGGGTTAATACCCGGATTTTCAATTCGATTCCATTGGTCTACCTGTCTATTTTTGTGCCAATACCAAGCTGTTTTCAGGACTATAGCTCTATAATAGAGCTTGAGGTCAGGGATGGTGATGCCTCCGGACGTTGCCTTGTTGAACAGGGTTGTTTTGGCTATCCTGGGTCTTTTGTTTTTCCATACAAAATTGATTATTGTTCTTTCAAGGTCTGTGAAGAATTGTGCTGGAATTTTAATGGGGATAGCATTGAATCTGTAGATTGCTTTTGGCAGGATTGCCATTTTTACTACATTGATCCTACCTATCCAAGAGCATGGGAGATCTTTCCATTTTCTGAGGGCTTCTTTAATTTCTTTCTTTAAAGATTCAAAGTTCTTACGATACAGGTCTTTCACTTGTTTGGTTAGCGTTACCCCAAGGTATTTTATGTTGTTTGTGGCAATTGTAAAGGGTGATGTTTCTCTGATTTCTCTTTCAGCCCTTTTATCATCTGTATATAATAGGGCTACTGCGTTTCTTGAGTTGATCTTGTAGCCTGCCACTTTGCTGAAGGTGTTAATCAGCTGTAAGAGTTCCCTGGTAGAGTTCTTTGGGTCATTGATGTAAACTATCATATCGTCTGCAAACAGTGAAAGTTTGACCTCTTCCTTCCCAATTTGTATCTCCTTGATCCCCCTTTGTTGTCGTATGGCAATAGCTAGAACTTCAAGTACCATGTTGAAAAGGTATGGAGAGAGTGGACAGCCTTGTTTTGTTCCTGATTTTAGAGGAATTGTGTTGAGTTTCTGTCCATTTAGTTTGATGTTGGCTGTTGGTTTACTGTATATGGCTTTTATTATGTTTAAGTATGTCCCTGTTATCCCAGATCTCTCCAAGACCTTTATCATGAAGGGGTGTTGGATTTTGTCAAAGGCTTTTTCAGCATCTAGTGAGATGATCATGTGATTTTTGTTTTTCAGCTTGTTTATATGGTGGATTACGTTGATGGATTTTCGTATGTTGAACCATCCCTGCATCCCTGGGATGAAACCTACTTGATCGTGGTGAATGATTGTTTTGATGTGTTCTTGGATCCGATTTGCCAGTATTTTATTGAGTATTTTTGCGTCAATGTTCATGAGGGATATTGGTCTGAAGTTCTCTTTCTTGGTTGTATCTTTGTGTGGCTTGGGGATCAAGGTTATTGAAGCCTCATAGAAAGAGTTTGGCAAAGACCCTTCTGCTTCTATTGTGTGGAACACTTTGAGAAGAATTGGTATAAGCTGTTCTTTAAATTTGTGGTAGAATTCTGCACTGAGGCCATCTGGACCTGGACTTTTTTTGGTTGGGAGACTTTTGATGACAGCTTCTATTTCCATAGGGGTTATAGGTCTATTTAAATTGCTTATCTGTTCTTGATTTAGTTTTGGCAAATGATAGCTGTCCAGGAAGTCATCCATTTCCTTTAAATTTTCGAATTTTGTAGAGTACAGGTTTTCAAAGTATGACCTAATGATTCTCTGGATTTCCTCAGAGTCTGTTGTTATGTCCCCCTTTTCATTTCTGATTTTGTTAATTTGTGTGTTCACTCTCTGCTGTTTGGTAAGTTTGGACAAAGGTTTGTCTATCTTGTTGATTTTCTCAAAGAACCAACTCTTCATTGCATTGATTCTTTGTATTGTTTTCCTGGTTTCTACTTTGTTGATTTCAGCCCTCAATTTGATTATTTCCTGGCATCTACTCCTCCTGGGGGAGTTTGCTTCTTTGTATTCTAGAGCTTTTAGCTGTGATGTTAATTCTCTGGTATAACTGTTTTCCTGTTTCTTCATGTGAGCACTTAGTGCTATGAACTTCCCCCGTAGCACTGCTTTCAAGGTGTCCCATAGGTTTGGGTATGTTGTGTCTTCATTCTCATTGAATTCAAGGAAGTCTTTAATTTCTTTTTTTATTTCCTCTTTGACCCAGGGATGGTGCAGTTGAGCATTATTCAATTTCCATGAGTTTGTAGGTTTTCTGCAATTTGTGTTGTTGTTGAATTCTAATTTTAAGGCATGGTGGTCTGATAAGATGCATGGAGTTATTCCAAATTTTTTGTAGCTGCTGAGGTTTGATATGTTTTGGCCGTTATGTTTTACAGTGATAAAGTGATTATTTCTACCCAAAAGGTAGGTACTAGGCACCACCATCTTTAAAAGAAAATACAATACCTTAAAAGATTTTGCTGCTGTCTAGATGTAGTGTCACAGACCTGGGATATCAGTACTTTGGAGGCTGAGGCAGAAGGATCTGAAGGATGTAGTCATCTTGGGTCACACAATGACAACTTAAAGAGTGAAACCAAACATTTATGCTAGCTTATTCTTTAACTGTGAGAATGGTTAAAAAGAGAAAAAAGTACACCGAGTTATTATGGAGAATGATTTCATCTCAGTGTTTCCATCATTAATTTCCTATTAAAACACCCTCTTGTTATATCACAGACAAAACTCAGGTGGAGGGTCCAACCTTCTCTAGTGCAAAGGGTTATGTGAGCACTGGGCAGAAAGAACTGATCCTTGGGCAAGAAGAACTGATCCTCCTGCAGGAGAAAGTCAAGAATGGGAAAATGTCTATGGATGAAGCTCTAGAGAAATTTAAACTTTGGCAGATGGGAAAGAGTGGTCTGGAAATGATTCAACAGGTAATATGATCTTCTGGAACATTCCTTCACTTGTGGATCTCCCTGCACTCTTTAAATATATAAGCCTCACAAGACATACAGACAACTATTCTTTTGTTTTTAACTGGCCACTAAAAAGATGTTTGCAACAATCAACTAAATGCTTGAAAATAATATCCAAATTTTCACTGCTAAGTTCATTTATGCAAACTCAGTCTTGGAACTCATACATCAAAGCTGCTTACAAGCCCTGTCCTGGGTGCAGAGAACATTTGTTTTATCTCAGTGCAGAAATTAAGATGAAACATCTTCACAGTAACAGGTTCTTACCATGTTAAAACCTAACAGACCAGACTCAAACGAGCAAAAAACAACTAAATAACTGATGTCACATCAAGCATTTAGTCATAAGTATGGTTAATTTTAACATCTTATTCCTTATAAAATGTTACCGATGACACCTTGGCTATTCTCAGTAAGAGATATCTGCTCCATAGTCTGCTTATCTCATCGGCTTTCCCACTCCCAAAATATTTCAATGTTCTACCCTTTCCATGGCAGGAAGCCTTCTTGCCTCAGAACCCAGAACTCAGAACGTATTGAATAAGCCAAGTTAGGACAAAATAGAGGGAGCTAATATTAGATGAATATTCTACCTCTACTGAGAGATCATTTTTATTTTAAAAGACAATGCAGTTTTTAGCAATAGAAAAATGAGTCACTATGATAAAATTTAAAACAATATGGCATATTGGCCAAAGCAGTGTAGGCGAGAAGACTTTCCAAACACATTTGAGATCATAGCTTGTCAGAAGCCACCTACATAGAAGAGTAGATTTGGTTGGCAGTTGGTGGCTGAAAATGGTCCAGGTTTCACAATATTAATCAAAGGCAATTATTTTTCTAAACAAATGTTAAGGAAAGTGGAAGGTACAGTTCTGCACCTGTGCATTGCTCCCGAACAGAATGATAGCATTGTTTCTCCATTCTTACCAATACCATCACATTCACAGTCACTCTAAAACCTAAAATGTAGTAAAATGTGTTCAATTACAAGCCCACGCAACTCATCTTGCTCTGAGGAACTACATATACTATATCCTTCTCAATCCCTTTAAAAAAAGATAAAACAAAGATTTCAATTCAGTTTCATATAAGCCAGCTTCTTAGAAACTACTTTCCTAATCATTTCTTGAAACACTTAGTTGCTTCTGTTTTGCTTGTATGTTTATATCCATGAGGAAGTATTTGAGACATCCACACATGTGCACACACTCCCCCATATTTCATATTCTTTTCTATATTCCCCTTCTTGCTACAAACATATTCATTTGTATCCTGGAAATGAATTTAGCAGTGGTTATTGTGACATGGTGTGGCTGGTGGAGGATTGTTCTGGGGGAAATGGCTCATGTTCATGTATGTATCCAAAGAGTTTGAAGAGCAGGGAAGATTCACAGTCATGTGGACGCCCAGCCCTGAAGATGCGGTGTAACAAAACAGAAGGCCTTGCCTTTCACCCCTATCATTGGCATGCCAAAGGCACCAACTCCCCTCAGAGGGGATCATCTACAAAGCCATGGAAATAACCCCCAGGAAAGAAGCCTTCCTGAGGACAAAAAAATAAAAATAAAAATGCCTAGGTTTTCTTCTCAAGAAATGTATGGAGTGATAGTGTACTTTTTATTTCTGCTAAAATGATAATAGTTGTGCTGAGCAGAATATTTGGAAAACAAAGATCACACATATTCTGAGAAAGAGAAACTAGTTTCATAGTATTTTTCCCCTGGGCCTTCATTTTGTTAGTAATAGAGTACCAGGAAAAACTATACCAAGAGGATGGCTGTAGATGGAATCAGGAGGCATCCTGGTGCAGCATCCTAGTGCAGCTCTTCACTCAACGGATGCACACAGGTGTAGGCATGCCGCTAAGCTCAGCTTCCAATCCTGGCTTAGATGATTAGATGAATTGCTTAGCCTCCGGTGCCTCAGCTTTCATCTCTATGAAACAGGATGCTCCCATTTTACATCTCCTTCATGAAGAATAAGATTATGTATAAAGTTCCGAAGATGTTTTAGACATCTTAAGTAGCAACTTATTACTATGTAGTGGTTTGGTCACTAGTTACAGAAATCAATGCTTTCATTTTGACCCATTAAAGATTTTAAATCTTGGTATCTGTGTTCTGTGCTTTCGTTAAGGAAAAGCTACGCCAACTACGAGACAGCATTGTTGGGAAAAGGCCAGAAGATGAAAATGCCTATGGTGAGTAAAAGTTGCCTTCTACTCAAAAAACAATAGTGTGACTGGATAGAAAATGCAGTAACTATGGATCCAAACAGTTCAAGTCCACACATTTCCTCGCTTCCCACTCTCTGACAGGAGACTCAATCTCTCTAGTTCATTCTCAGCAAAGTGGGATTAATCACACATCCACTCATAATGCTCTACTGACCCAGGTTGACCAACCAAAGCTCACTACTTCCATTTGATTTCTATGTTACTTACAAACAAGACTATCTTGTTCCAGTGTATTTTCTTTGGTCATTATGTGGGGCATCAAATAGGTAGGTCGTTCCTAATACTGCCAAGTCTCACAACTGTCCACATGTGGGTTGTTTACCTGTCTCAGGTTGGCCTTTCATCATAACCACATTTCTGGCAGTGTAGGTTTCCCTTCTGATAGTTAACAGCTGTCCTGGGGGAACAACTGGGTTAAAGACAAACACCATTAAGATGACAAATCTTCTCCAAAGATGAATAATAAATTCCAGATTTGAAAATAAACTGTATTACAATTATATGGCCACTCTTCTCCCAAATCTCTCCTCTCAAACAGAAAATTAGAAACACTAAGAACAAGCACTTAAAAAACCTTATCTACCCACTGTATGTATATATTACATAGCTTTTAATTTGTACATCATGGGGAGATGCACTTTGTGAAATTTATTCTCCTTCTGTTATTGTGTTGATATCTACTTTCCCGGAGAGAATTCTTTAAGCTTTCCTTCCTATAAATGTGTTCTAAACTATAAATATACTTTGTAAAATAATTAACATCATAAGGAAGAGACTTGTTTATACATAACAGATCTAAAATCTCGCATTTTTATGTGAAAAATAACATTTAAAAAACTAATAAGAAGCCGGGCGGTGATGGTGCATGCCTTTAATCCCAGCACTTGGGAGGCAGAGGCAGGTGGATCTCTGTGAGTTCGAGGCGAGGCTGGACTGACAGCCTCCAAAACCATACAGAGAAACCCTGTCTCATAACCCCCCCCAAAAAAACTAATAAGATTACAAATTCTATAAATAATCTTACTAAAACATTATGTAAATAGTATCTATTGAATCTAAAGAGCACATATAAAATACTACCACATCTTACAGTGGTCATAGTAGATAGATTTCATTCATACTATACAAATAAGTAAATAATAGGAAACTGGAAAAACACAGGAGTTGGAATCTACCACACATTTTTGTTTGAATTCAGGAATCGGTACCAGTGTTTGACCAGTGAATCAGTTCTCTCTTCAGTCACAGTGGAACAAACAGCACCAAGCAGGCAATTCCATTTCACAAAATACTAATAGTGATCAATGACTAGCATTAATACCATTTTGAGAAATGATATTAAGCAGGTGAAGATTCTATTGTCAGAGGCAGGCAAGGCTCATGCGGTGAACCTAACTATTGTCCATCTGTCTGCCAAAGGAGCATTTACTGACTGAGAGAGCAAGGCAAGTCAGTCGGAGAGCACAGCTAAGGCAGCTGACACTGCTGTGGTGTGCCCTGAACTGAACAAGAGTGGGCTCAGAATCACACAGGGTTCTGTGGATGAGAGATGAGCTGAGTGAGTGTGTGCAAGGAGCACAAGCTAGTAACCCAGGGCACTGAAAGCAAATAAGTAAATAATACATAAATAAGTACAGAGGGAGGATGAGCGATCGCCTACTTGGACAGGCTTTGCTCCTCACCTGCCAGAGTGGGCCCATCTTAACACTTCCTGAAACTTCTAATGCCTGCCGTATTAGGACCCAAACTCACAGTAATCTCTAATCACAATATGCCTGGTAAGTTCTAAAGACCCAATTCTAAAACCTGTAAGAGAAACATAGCTTGTACCTTAGGCCTTATGAAACACCTTGGTGTTTCTATTGGTAATTATCAAAAAAATAAATAAAAAACAATTCACACTATAGAATGGGGCGTTGGTGGTGCATGCCTTTAAACCCAGTACTCAGGAGGCAAAGGCAGGCAGATCTCTGTGTCTACAGAGTGAGTTCTAGGACAGGCTCCAAAACAATACAGAGAAACCCTGCCTCAAAAAACAAACAAACAAAAAAACTGTAGAAAGCACATATCAGAAGTTGAACTGCCTAACAAAAGAAGGTCCTACACAGAGTCTGCAGTATGTAATACTCAGCATTCTGGCCAAATAATGACTAAAAATTACACAAAAGTGAACAAGAATCCATAGTGAAGAAACAGAAAGCTATATAATAAGAAATTGATAGTCTCATGTTGACCTTTGTAGAAGAGAATATTAAACATGAAAGTGTCTCTTATAAGTATATTGAATTCATGCAAAAGACAGCTTTAGGGGAATAAATATAAAATATGAGAAACTTTGAAACTAATTGAAATAACCAAACGGAAATTATAGAAAGCAACATTAAGATACAAGAAACCTTTTACAGATAAAAGTCAGCATATCATATATTACTGAATGCAAGGATGGATTGATATGATTTGCCTAATATTGGAAAAAAGATGAATGACATATGGAGGAAAAGCTTAAGGATGTTCACTAATGTCTTGTCAGAATCAACAGAGAGTTAAAGACTGTATGGTAATATTTTCAAAGGGCTGAAACTAAAAGAAAACTGCACTTCCAGAGAAAATAGACTTGAAACTTGTGCTGAAATAATGATTGCTTTAGATAAGTTGATTAAAGTATTTGTAGGAAAATTGCAAGGTAACCAACATTAAAGACTTTCATATAGGTAGAAAGAAATAGTAATAGAAATAAATTCAGATTCACATTGAGGGCATAAAAAGACATCAAATCACATAGTGCTGTGTTTTCTGTGTTTTGGTAAAAGATTTTAATGATAACTATTTAAAGCAAAATTTACATGTGTTATAAGTTAGAGCATGTAATGGAGAAACAATACCACAAAGAACAGAGGCTGCGGTTAACTAAAATTGAGTAAAATTATATACATGATAAAGTTCAACATGTAGCATGAGAAGAGTCAATTAAAAACAAGAGGAAGGGGGTAAAATAGGAAGTATGAAGAGAAGTGTAAGGAAGAAAACAGGGAAGAGGGCTCTATTATCTCAAATTAGTTTGAAAAATTGAACTTGCTTATTTTATTAACTTAAAATTAAAATAAGGGACTAGAGGTATGGCTCACCAATAAAGAGCACTTGCTGCTCTTGCAGAAGACCTGCAAGCTACCCACATGGCTTCCCAGTACCCTCATGGTAGCTCACAACCATCTCTACTAGGGGTCTGTCTCCCTCTTCTGGCCACCTGAGAACTACATGCATTTATTACACATGCTGGCAAACACACACATAAAATAACAAAAAAGTAAACCTAGGTCATCGAAAAGTTTCGATACATTCCAGAAGATCAAAAGTTACGAGAATCTTCCCTAAGTGTTGGAGTTTCATGCCAAATATTTAAGAATCAAATACAATGTTTCAAAAATAATCCTTGTATTAAAAAAGAAGTTGTAGAAAACTATTTTTGAAATGAAAGCTATTGTGGACAGGATACCAAAACGTGTAATATGAAGCAAAATACAGTTAACAGGTAAATTAGAGGAAAATTTGTGATCATAAAAGTTAAAGAGTATATTTACCAAACACCAAAAGAAAAAGGGAGGAGAACCTACACAAAATAACTCCACTACCAATAAATCAAGCACAAACAAGAATCATCAATCAATGATCATTGATATCCCTCAATGTCAATGGCCTCAACTTGCCTATAAAAAGACACAGACTAGCAGAATGGATACGAAGACAGAACCCATCCTTCTGCTGCATACAAGAAACACATCTCAACATCAAAGATAGACATTACCTCAGAGTAAAGGGTTGGGAAAAGATTTTCCAATCAAACAGACCCAAGAAACAAGCGGGTGTAGCAATCCTAATATCTTACAAACTAGACTTCATATTAAAATCAATCAAAAGAGATGAAGAAGGACATTTCATATTCATCAAAGGAAAAGTCCATCAAGATGAAGTCTCAAATTTAAACATCTATGCCCCAAATACAAAGGCACCTACATTCATGAAAGAAACATTACTAAAGCTCAAATCGCACATAAAATCTCACACACTAATAGTAGGAGACTTCAACACTCCACTCTCACCGCTATACAGGACCTACACACAGAAACTTAAAAAAGAAACAAAAGAACTAATAGAAGTTATGACTGAACTGGGTTTAACAGACATATACCGAACATTCCATCCAAACACAAAGGAATAAACCTTCTTCTCGGCGCCACATGGAACCTTCTCTAAAATTGACCACATAATAGGAAACATAGCAAATCTCCATAGATACAAATCAATTGGAATAACCCCCTGTATCTTATCAGACCACCATGCATTAAAATTAGAATTCAACAATAACACAAACCGCAGAAACCCTAGACACTCATGGAAATTGAACAATGCACAATTGCACCATCCCTGGGTAAAGGAAGAGATAAAAACAGAAATTAAAGACTTCCTCGATTTCAATGAGAATGAAGACACAACATACCCAAACTTATGGGACACTCTAAAAAGCAGTGCTGAGAGGAAAGTTCATAGCACTAAGTGCCCACATGAAGAAACTGGAGAACAGTCACACTAGAGAATTAATAGCACAGCTGAATGTTCTACAAAAAAAAGAAGCAAAGTTACCCAGGAGGAGTAGACGGCAGGAAATAATAAAATTGAGGGCTGAAATCAATCAAGTAGAAACCAGGAAAACATTGAGAAGAATCATTGAAACAAAGAGTTGGTTCTTTGAGAAAATCAACAAAATAGACAAACCTCTGTCCAAACTAACCAAAAGACAGAGAGAGAGCATGCTAGTTAACAATATCAGAAATGAAAAGGGCTACATAACAACAGACACTGAGGAAATCCAGAGAATCATCAGGGCATACTTTGAAAATCTGTACTCCACAAAAATTGAAAATTTAAAGGAAATGGACAATTTCCTGGATAGATATCACTTGCCAGAA